AGTTTGCCAACCACTGGTCTAAGAAAGTGGTGGTTATAGTCATATACAATTGACCCTTGAACAACCTGGGTTTGAACTGCACGGGTTCACTTACATGTGAATTTTTTCAATAAATATATTGGATAATTTTTTGGAGGTTTGTGACAATTTTAAAAGATTCCTAGATGAATTGTGTAGCCTAGAAATAAGGAAAAATTTTAGAAACAGGTATGTTATAAATGTACAAAATATATGTAGATATGGTATGGTTTGGCTGTGCTCTCACCCAAATCTCAACTTCAATTCCCGTGTGTTGTGGGAGGGCCCTAGTGGGAGGTAATTGAATCGTAGGGTCAGGACTTTCCCTTGCTGTTCTCGTGGTGATAGTGAATAAGTCTCATGAGATCTGTTGGTTTTTTAAAAAAAGGAATTTCCCAGCACAAGCTCACTTCTTTTATCTGCTGCCATATGAGACATGTCTTTCACCTTCCACCATTATTGTGAGGCTGCCCTCGCTATGTGGAACTGTAAGAAGTCCAATAAACCTCTTTATTGTGTAAATTGCCCAATCTAGGGTGTCTTTATCAGCAGCGTGAAAACAGACTATTATAGTAAATTGGTGTCAATACAGTAAATTGGTACTGGGGGTAGGGTGCTGCTGAAAACATACTGAAAATGTGGAAGCGACTTTGGAAATGGGTAACAGGCAAAGATTGGAACAGTTTGGAGAGCTAAAAAGAAGACAGGAAAATATAGGAAAGCGTAGAACTCTCTAGGTCTTATTGAATGGCTTTTACCAAAACACTGATAATGTTATGGACAATGAAATCCAGACAGAGGTGGTCTCTGATGAACATGAGGAGCTTGCTGGGAACTGGAGCAAAGGTGACTCATGTTATTTTTTAGCAAAGAGATTGGCAGCATTTTGCCCCTGCACAAGAGATTTGTGGAACTTTGACCTTGAGAGAGATGATCTAGGATATCTGGCAGAAGAAAATTTCTAAGCAGCAAAGCATTCAAGAGGTGACTTGTGTGCTGCTGGAAGCATTCGGTTTTGAAAGGGTAGCAGCATAAAAGTTCGGAAAATTTGCAGCCTGACAATGCAATAGAAATGAAAATCCCATTTTATGAGGAGAAATTGAAGCTGGCTGCAGAAATTTGCATTTGTAACAAGAAAATGTTAATACCCAAGACCATGAGGAAAATGTCTCCAGGGCATGTCAGAGGTCTTCATGGCAGTTCCTTACATCACAGGCATAGAGACCTACAAGGAAAGGATGGTTTCATGGGCTGGGCCAAGGACCCCCTCCACTATGTGCAACCTTGGTACTGGTACCCTATATCCCAGCTGCTCTTGCCATGGCTAAAAGGGGCCAGGTATAGCTAGGGCTGTCATTTCAGAGGGTGAAAGCCCCAAACCTTGGTAGTTTCCATGTTGTGTTGAGCCTGCGGGTACGCAGAAGTCAAGAATTGAGGTTTGGTGTGGTGACTCATGCCTGTAATCCCAGCACTTTGGGAAGCCGAGGCAGGCAGATCACTTGAGGCCAGGAGTTCAAGACCAGCCTGAATAATGTGGCGAAACCTCATCTCTACTAAAAATATTAAAAAATTAGCCGGGTATGATGGTGTGAACTTATAGTCCCAGCTACTTGGGAGGCTGAGGCACAAGAATCACTGGAATCTGGGAGGTGGAGGTTGCAGTGAACTGAGATCACACCACTGCAGTCCAGCCTGGGAGACAGAGCAAGACTCTGTCTCCAAAAAAAAAAAGTCAAGAATTAAGGTTTGGGAACCTCCATCTTGGTGTCAGAGGATGTATGGAGATCCCTGGATGTCCAGGCAGAAGTTTGCTGCAGGAGTGGGGCCCTCATGGAGAACTTCTTCTAGGGCAGTGAGGAAGGGAAATGTGGGATTGGTGCCCCGACACAGAGCCATTACCGGGGCACTGCCCCTTGGAGCTGTGAAAAGAGGGCCATCTTCCCCAGACCCTAAAATGATAGATGCACTGACAGCTTGCGCTCTGCACCTGGAAAAGCCACAGACACTCAACACCACCCCATGAAAGCATCCAGAAGGAAGGGTGTACCCTGCAAAGGCACAGCATCGGAGCTGCCCACAGCCATGGGAGCACACCTCTTGCAGTAGCATGACCTAGATGTGAGACATGGAGTCAAAAGATATCATTCTGGAGCTTTAAGACTTGATTACCACACTGGATTTCAGACTGGCATGGGCCCTGTAGCTCCTTTGTTTTGGCCAGTTTCTCCCCTTTGGAATTGCTGTGTTTACCCAATATCTGCACTGCCTTTGTATATGGGAAGTAACTAACTTGCTTTTGATTTTACAGTCTCATAGGCGGAAGGGATATGCCTTGTCTCAGATGAGACTTGAGACTGCAAACTTTTGAGTTAAGGCTGAAATGAGTTTAGACATCCGGGGACTGTTTGGAAGGCATGATTGGTTTTAAAATGTGAGGACATGAAATTTGGGTGGGGCCAGGGGCAGAATGATATGATTTGGATGTGTCCCCACCCAAATCTCATCCTCAATTCCCAGGTGTTGTGGGAGGGACCTGGTGGGATATAATTGAATCATGGGTGCAGATTTTTCCTGTGCTGTTCTCATGATAGTGAATAAGTCTTATGAGATCTGGTGGTTTTGAAAGTGAAGTTTCCCTGCACAAGTTCTCTTCTCTTGTCTGCCGCCATGTAAAATGTGCCTTTCACCTTCTGCCATGATTGTAAGCCCTCCCCAGCCATGTGGAACTGTAAGTCCAATAAACCTCTTTCTTTTGTAAATTGCCCAGTCTAGGATATGTCTTCATCAGCAGCATGAAAATGGACTGCTACATAGATACTACTTTATTTTATCATTTACTACCATAAAATTTACACAACTCTATTATAAACCATTAAAATTTATGAAAACTTATGCAGGACCAGAGAAATAAAGTCACTTAATCCAAATCATATAGCTGATTAAAAATTGCAGAGCTGGTATTATAACTCAGGTTTCCTGAATTTCAGTCCAGTTCTTCTTCCACTGAAACGGGAGAGTTCCCTGACTACCCCCTTGCAGGATATGTGACAGGGGTGTGGCTTGTCTCTTTGTCTGCTATGCACAATGAAACCCCTTATAGGACACTGCCCCACAGCAGCTTCCAGAGGTGAGAACCTTCAACTCCCAAAGTCTAATTGGGTGTGTGTTACAGTGTGCTCCTTTAGCCTTGCCATTCACGGACAGCTTAAGTGCTTACCACTTCAGTGCCCTCTTGGTACCTAGGTTCTTGTCTGGCATCCAGGAAGAATCAGTAGCCAATCTCCTCTTTGACTGTCCCTAGCTGAACTCCTCTCAGCGTTCAGATGCCCCTTCCTTTCTCTCTGCTGTGCCGTTCTGCCATTCTTCTGCTCTTCTGTTCATCTTTTTATTTCTACCTGGAGTCATGGGTTTGAGGTTTATATGGATACACGATAGGGGGGCATGGAGAGCAAAAAGGCAACTTTGGGACACAAAAACAGGAATGCCTGTTCACATTTAAGGCCATGAGTTTCCAGGCTTGAGGGTGGGGCCTTTGCTGGGGAACTGCCCTCTTCTACCCAGTATTTCCCTGTCTCCTGTCTGTATCACCATTATATTGCATCACATTCTCCCCCGTCACCTCCTGAAATAATTCCAACTCCCAGGCCTCCCTACATTCCTGTTGTTAAGGCTGTTATTACATTATAATAATATTGTATACCATTATATAATTTATTATTAATTGATATTTCTTTTTACTTTTAATACTACCTCATTTAGGATGATAAATTATATGGTCACTTTATCTGAAGTTTCTACTGAAAGGGGTGGTGAGAATAGAAATGGGAATAGAATAGTGAGAACTATGCAAGGTAGAATTTAAGAGATTAATTTTTGAAGGTTTGCATTGGGGTCATCAAGATCATCTCAATGATTTACTAGGATGCACTGGATTCAAGTTGTTATACTCATGCTATGGTTTATTATTATTAAAGTGAAAGGATACAGAGTAAAATCAGCAAAGGCACATGGAATGTAGCCTGGAAGACTCCAGTTGCAAGCTGTCAGGCCTCCCTTTCTATTGGAGTTACACAGGACATGCTTAATTTCCCCCAAAATATGTGATAATGTGTACAGAGTATTCCCAATCAGGGAAGTTTACCCTGGGGGTTAGTCACATAGGTATGTCATGTCTGCATGACTGACCTTGGCTACTTAAGCTTCAAATCCTCAGAGAAAAAGCAGGTGTTCACTATAAATCACATTATTAACATAAACTACCTGTTCAAACTGCTATAGCATGGCCCAAGACCTCCAGCATAGAAAAGCACTGTAATCAGACAACTTTCCGAAAGGTTGGAGCTTAGTCCTCAGGAGCTGGCCAGGGGATAGTCCTGAAAACAGTTCATTTATGGGAATGTATAGAGTTTGAACAACCCAAGCCTGCTGAGGCGACTGTTTTCCACACAACGTCATACAAGTTATTCAATTTAGAGTTTGAATCCATGTAAACCTGATTCTAAGGTCTGTGCTTTTTCCATAAGTAATTTTTAGCAGTGTTTTATGCTGATTTGATAATTAAAAATTACTGGCTACATTAGGTATAGTAGGGACTTGGACTGTGCCTCACCTTTCTTGATAGATATTTCCTAATGAGCTTTTTTCCCCCTCACATCAAAATAAGGAAGCTTAGTTGGGTATTTTTAAGTGCTTTTGTAAGCACTTAATGGTATTAAGACTCTCTAGTTGTAGTCATTTTCAAAAAAAGTTTATTTTGTTTCCTATGCTTACATATTGAAAAGTAGCTTATCTGTAGTTAAACTTGGTAGTTTTAGGACTCTATTTTTTTACTTTTTTTTTTTTTTGCATTTAATACAATTTTTAGTTTGAAAAAGATAAACATATAATACAAAATTTTAGTTCACAATAGAATTGCCGTCCTTATAGATAATATGTTTGAATAAATTTAAACAGTCCTTTAAACCTTTTTTCTTTTTCCATAGGTATTTGTGGAAACATTAGACAAATGTTTTGAAAATGTCTGTGAACTGGATTTGATTTTCCATGTAGACAAGGTACTATTTCTATTGTCACATCTTCTAAGCTTTTTAAGAAAAATATTAACTTATAATTGTCATAGCGAAATGGTTTTAATAAATAATTCTATTTTTCTTCTTTTACTTATTATTAAATCATAAATTATTTTTACTATGAGCCAGGCTTTGAACTTGGTGGAAAAGATTCAGATCCTGCCTTAGAGGAATTCATGTCTAAGGGCGGAAACAATGGCATTAACAAATAATAATAGTATGTACAGCATGTTAATGGGAACACAACTGAACCACTTACCTCTGCCTAGGAGACTGTGAATGAAGGAAATTACATTTAAATTAGGTTTTAAGGGATTAGTAGATGTTTCACACATAGAAAAGGAGAGGATGGCCCTACTGGCAGCGATATAAAATATAGGCCTTTTTATATCAGGAGGGACTGATATTGATCAACAGGCCTAATTTAAAAGAACCATTAATGCCATGACTTTGAACTTTATTGTGAGACAATTGAATGTTTTTAAACAAGTTTTTACTGACATTATTGTTGCTTTATTTTTTTTTCATATTTTTTTGGCAGGATGATTTGTGTGTGTGTGTGTGTATGTGTGTGTGTGTGTGTGTGCGTGTGTGTGTGTTATGGACATTGAATTGGTAGGCTGGGAAAATAAACACAGGGAAATCAATTAAGAGTTTATTGCAGTAGTCCCAAAAGAAATGATTAAGACACTAGGATGAGATGATGTTTGGAAGAAGGTAGAACTGATAGGACTTGATGGCTTGTTGAAAGCTGAAGGTGAGAGAAAGGAAGAATGACAGATTTCTACCAGTATTGGTAGATTATTTGTGATAGGAAACTTAGGAGGAAAAGATTCCACTTTCACTATGTGCAGATTTTTTTCTTTATTAAGTTTGTATAATCTAAGAGATTGTTTATGAGTGCTTCAACCACTGAATAAGATGGTCTGAAAATTTTAGCAAAAAAAAATCCATTGTGATTTTTAAAAATTGGTTTTATTGAGGCATAATTTACAGGCATTAAAAGTCAACAGTTTTAAGCTTACAAAACTTAAGTTTTGACAAGTGTATATAGTACATGTCACCAGCATCACAGTCAAAATACAAGGAATGCATTTCATTATTTGTGAATGTCAAAAAAAAATTACTTTTCTCATTAGTCAATATTCTAGATCATATGTCTCATTTACTAAGTGATTTGATATTATAAATTCACTTTGGACAGAGTAATTAAACATGATATTTTTAGGAGTCTGTTTTTAGTGTTCTACTGTTTTTCTCTAATAGCTATGTCTAATGCCTATTCACACTTTCAAAGACTCTTGTTATTTTTAGTCGTTAGGGTTCACAGTATTCAAAATTATGTTTAGAAGACCAGGTGCAGGTGCTCATGTCTGTAATGCCAGCACTTTGTGAGTCTGAGGCCAGAGGATTGCTTGAGCCCAGGAGTTTGAGGCCATCATGGGCAACATGGTGAAACTTGGTCTCTACAAAAAATACAAAAATTAGCCAGGTGTAGTGGTATGCGTCTGTACTCCTAGCTGCTAGGGAGGCTGAGGTGGGAGGATCACCTGAGCCCGGGGAGGTTGAGGCTTCATGATTGTGCCACTGAACTTCAGCCTGCGTGATAGAGTGAGACCCTTTCTCAAAAAAAAAAATTATGTTTTGGTACATGATTAAAATTTTTAGAAAGCTGTGTTTTAAAATGACTGCAGAGAGGTCATCAGTTTATAGAAATATATTTACCATCTTTTAAGAAAATTGAGGACTCTTGTGAAATGTTGTGGTAAGAGTAAGGTTCATATATATATATATATAACTAGAGAAAGAGAATAAAAGTTTTTAAGGAAATTAAGCTCTACTCATCTACAAGTTCCATACATGACAAAAAATATTTTTAAAACTTCTATTTCACATTAGTATGCATTCATTTTAGAAAAATCAGAAAATACAGATCAGAAAAATATGTGAAAATCATCCCTATTCCAGAGATTGCCTACTGTTAACATTTTAGAATATGTATAGTTCTTGATTTTTTGCTACAAATATATACAGAAACAAATACATCTTTTAAAACAATAAAGATGGGATCATACAACATGTATTTTGTGTAGCCTGTTTATTTTACACAACACCATATTACTATTTTAGAAGCTGCCAAAATTGCTGTCTCTCTTTACTCTGGGCTAAGATGTTGTTTTAGTTTTTCAAGACAATGAGACAAAAGTTTTAGGATACAAAGAGTCAGAGATCAAATAGGTATTTCCTTTCTATTATCCAAAATGCTAACTTTGCTTTCAGCCCTTTGATGAGAGTAGGATTATTTTCAACTTTAAAAAATACACATATTTTTTAAAATTTCAACTTTTAAGCAGCTCTGGACCTTCCAGCAGTAGGGATCTTCTGACTGGCTCAGTTCATACTTTCTTAAAGGCAGACACAGAGAGGTTTGCACACAGCCCTCAGACTCCTGGGCCACAATTGAGTAGATGAAAAAAAAGTGTAGAGAATACCCCTTTTGTTATCAGTCAGGATGTAATGTATGTAAAGCTAGTTTATGCTGCAGTAGCAAATATGAAAACATTAGCCTCTTAGAACAAAAAAGGATTATTTCCCATTCACACAGTATGTTTTTCATATTCCACATGCTTTCATTTTGGGATCCATGGTGACAAAGCTGCCACCATCCAGAACATTGTTAGTTTCTATGTCAGAGAGAAAAAAAAAGGTTTTATTGGGTAAATTTATCTGCTTTTCAAGGTATCACAGATGATAGTTTTACCAAATATTTTGCTACTGCAAACATGGATCACTAACTTTCTATCTAATATAACAGTTTCCATGTGGCCAACTGCCCAACCTGTAAACCACTGTCAAATCGTTATTGTGGTTGCTACCAGTTTCTTTTTATAAATCGTTACATGTTAATAGCTGTATCAATTACATAGGCTAGTGTAGTCACCTTGAAGTAGTGGGACAGACCCTCCCCTGCTCACAGTTGGTTTGGATGTAGAGACTAACAATGGCACAGGTGCCCCAAGAGGACAGGAAAATGTTTATTACTCATATAATGAGGCTTTCTGGAGAAAGCAGAGAACAGCACCTGGCTTGTGTTTTATGGTAGTTAGGTGGTGGGGATGGGGTAAGAATTTCTGCATGTGGGCCCGGTGTTAGGTTATCTAAACTTTCCACTATTGTAAAGGGAGAAGCACCCAGACTTTCTTAACAGCTTGCCCAGATGTGGGGCAGTAGAGGAAGGGGGACTAGTAGGACTTGAAGTCTGTGAGCAGACAAGCATTAAAAATGGAGTCAGACCCTTTATCGCCTACAGATGTTATGCTGTAGTTATTACCCCTAAAATCCTAAAATATGAATAATTCAGTTCATTTCTTACTTAGCTACATGTTTATTGTGGGTTTGTTGGGAGGAGCTGCTGAGTTATCTGCCCATTTCCTGTATAGTGTGGCTCTGATTGTGCGGCCCCATGTTGTTGCCCCTATTGGAAAAAAGCATCAAAATCCAGGGCAAAATGAGAAAGCTAAAGATTCTCTGCAGGGCTTAGTTGGAGGATGTATGACTTTGATAATTACAGCTATTAATATACTCTGTTCTTCTCTCTGCATCCCACCACTTGCCTCCACAAGTGATTAGGATAGAGATCTGATTGGAGGTCTAAGTGCCTTTCCTACCCCTGAGGCTGGGAGAATGAAGACTTAAGAGCAGAGTGGTTTCCTCCAACTTGGTCCCTCTTGTGGATATTGACAGCCTGGTCTTAAATCACAGGCACAGAATGAGACTCCTTTTACTTTAACCAAATGAAAGAGTCTAGCCATTAATAACATCTTGAAACCCAGACCTGAGCACAGTTAGCCAATAGAAAAAAAGCACTGCCATCTGAGCAAGAGAGATGAGGAGCAGATTGAACAATCAGAATATATGTTCCACGAAAAAGAACTATTGGAGAAGATAGAGTAACACTGAAAATTTTATATTTTTAAAATTTAGGAAATTTTATACTTTTTAAATTTATTTATTTATTTGGTATGGGTGGGGTCTTGCTTTGTTGCCCAGGCTGGTCTTGAACTTCTGGCCTCAAGTGATCCTCTTCCTGCCTTGGCCTCCCAAAGCATTGGGATTATAGGTGTGAGCCACCACCTGGCTTCATTTGAAATTTTTAAATGATTTTAAAAATACTTAAGATTTGGAAAAGTATTCTTGGGCTTGAAAAATATTTGTCAGACTGAAAAGTTTTATAAAGAAAGTGGTCGTAATTGAGGCTTAAATTAAAGGTAGAAGATCAAATGCAGGAAATAATCTCAAAGCATAAGAATGAAAGGTAGATGTGGGAGAAGGGAAGATGGCCGACTAGGAACAGCTCAGGATTGCAGCCCCCAGTGAAAGTGCAGAGGGTGAGTGGACCCGCATTTCCAGGTGGATTTTTATTGCCCACAGACCAGGAGATTCCCAGGCGGAGGAGCCCCAAGGGTCACCAGCGCAGCTGTTTTGGCCGGCGCCCTGGCGCAGCAGTTCTCCATACAAAATACACTGGTCCGGGTGCCCTTTCAGCTGGCAGTTGGAGCCCCAGGAAGGCAGATCACCCATTCATCTGATTTAAAAAGGAACTGAAACAGGGAGCCAGGCCAGGAGATTCCTGGGCAAAAAAAACACCACGAATCTCAGCGCCGCTGTTTCAGCCAGCACAGTGAGTCACCGCAGGAGAAATCACACAGATCCCGGCGTCTTTTCAACAGGTGACTGGAACACCTGGAAGAGAGTCGACTGTTCAACTAAAAAAAAAACAGACTCTGAGTCAGGGAGTCAGGTGATCAGGCTCGGCTGGACCCACCCCACCCACACAAAAAAAGAAACAGCAATTGAAAATGCTCTGGGTTGAGAGTTTCACAGCAAGCACAGCTGAACCCAGGACAGCCCAGCTCTGTGGGGGAAGGGCGTCCACCATTACTGAGACACTCCACCACTACGAAGGTAGTCCGCCATCGCTGAGG